AACCTCCTGGGCTCAGGTGATCCTTCTGCTTCAGTCTCCCAAGTAGCTGGGACTACAGGTATGCACCACCACACCTGGCTTTTTTTTTTATTTGTAGAGATGAGGTCTCACTATGTTGCCTAGGCTGGTCTCCAAATCCCGGGCTCAGGAGATCCTCCTGTCTTGGCCTCCCAAAGTTCTGGGATTACAGGAATGTGCCACCATGCCCAGCCTTTTTAAAAATTTAATTATTATTGGGGGGCATGTTGTACTCTCCAGTTCTCTACAGCACTCCCCCATGTCTGCCTGTCTTGTTAACTGTCCCAAGTAGGCATTTGAGTTTGTAAACTATAATCACATAAACAAATCATAAGACCAGCTACCAACAATGAATTACAGGTAAAGATTCTGAAAGATCGTGCTTAAGTTTCCCTTTTCATAGACTAGTATCCAATTTAAAAAATATTAACCAAGACCCAGCTCAAGTATACTGAAACCTTTCTAATCCATTACCGTCCCCTTCCTTCCAAAGCCCTTCTAGAAAATTTTGTTGAGAATCCAGAATTTAATTACTGTGCTATCCTGTCGAATGATTAAACTTAGTGCAGAGCTGGGCACAGTGGCTGACACCTGTAATCCGAGCACTTGGGGAGGCTGAGGCAGGAGGATTGCTTGAGTCCAGGAGTTCGAGACCAGTCTAGGCAACACAGCGAGACCCTGTCATTCAAAAAATAAAAATAGACTTAGTTCAGGATCTTCTACATTTTCCCCTTTTTCCTCACAACATTTACAGAAGAGATCTACCGTGCGTGTGGGGGTGAGGGAAGGAGAAAAAGGAGGAGAAGAACAGAGAAGTGATCATGATGGAGCCAGAGGAAGGATGAAGAGCACATTCAAGCTATACTGCCCTAATTTCCACGAAGCTGGCCAGAGTCAAATCCTTTTGGACATAACGCAATTAGGAGAGTCTAGAAAAGAATGGCAATGAGAGGCTTATAACCCAATCCAAGCCCTTTTGTCCTTACAGATAAGGAAACTGAGCCTCAGCGATGATACAAGGGCACGAAGCTAACCAACACTGTTTGCACTACTCGTCATGTTCCCTCTTCCTGGTCTACTTCTACTTTCCAGACAAGGAAAGCTGTGATCAACTGTGTCACTTCTACTAACCGTTCCTAAAAATGTTTCAATCCAGAACTGTAGTATTTCATCTAATCTATAGAAGATTACATTCATATTTTATTCTTAAATTTCTTGACAAATTCAAAAGACTTTTTACTGTCAGCCTAGTAAAAATGAAAGCAATTGAGTGGGTAGTGGAGGGGATGTGAGCAAAATAAACTATTTCATTACATTTCACCTAGTAGTCTTACTTACCGGGCTAATCTTCGTGATAACTTGGTATTAAATCATGCATGCATTTAATAATTTAGCTGACCCACCATTCAACATAATAACTATCTACTCTCAGCTGGGACAATGTTTGACACACTTCTGTCACTTCACCTACCACCTCTGTAAGTTTGGCTTGCTGTATCTGCATACCAACCATACTAGTTTTATATGTGTCTTCATAATGATTTAAAGTCCACCCCTTTTTTATACTTGGCCTTGAGTATTTATTTTTATAATACCCATTAAATCATAAGCTTGCTGTGGTGATTTTTTTAATGTATGATAAAGTAGTTACATAACTATTAAAATATGTCCATGAACAGACACCATCTAAACTCCTCTCATGTGATATTGGTGATATTCTTACACATTGAATGACCTAACCCTGGACTGACTGACAATTGATGATATGAGTAAATAATGAAAGAATTGTTTTCCAACATCTAACAGGAGTTGCTAATTATTCAGATTTGTGGTAAGGTGCCAGAAATGCATCAGATCAGCAATGTCAACAGATATCAAACAAGGAAGCCTAGGTTTTCAGATTTTATTGTACATGTGGATTTTTTTTTTAAAGAAAGCAAGATTTACTGAAAGGACACAAAAGCTCCCACTGAACTGAGGGGGTTTGCCCTACTGGATTGTTTTTTAAGAGACAGGGTCTTGCTTTGTTACCCAGGCTAGAGTGCAGTAGCTGTTCAGGGGTGCAATCATAGTTCACTGCAGCCTTGAACTCCTGGGCTCAAGTGCTCTGTCCCAAGCAGCTGGGACTATAGGCATGCGTCATCATGCCCAGCTTAACTGGGTTGTTTGAAGGCTTAAATGGATGACATGTCAAAAAGTACTGCAAAACCAGAGCCCCCTATGTTCTAGAGGGCTGATGATGATAATGACGATGACGACAGAGAACCACTTTCGGCAGCCTACAATTCCGAAGACAATCAGCAGCTCAAATAAGATGCAAGTGCTCTGCGCCATATAAACATCTGCTCCCATTTAATTACTGACATTGCATTTGATCTACAATAAATTAGCTTCCAAATTAAGTGCATATTTCAAATAAGATATTTGCACAGTAGATAATTCCAAATATTGTCAACTGATGATTGCAACTTCAATCCTCAAGGAACTTTATCTGGATCTTCAGGGTCAACCCCATGCAATGGCTCCCATGCCAGAGGTCTCAAAGGCCCATTTTGGTTACCCTGATTTTAAGAACCACTTTATAGGTGACATGTGCAATGATCCTGCAGTTTAGAAAAATGTCATACATTTTTTTTTTTTTTTAAAAACTCTCTCCTTGAAGAAAGCATAACAACTCCCGAATTATAAATTTAATGTCAACTTTGCAGATTTCACTACAGGGCAAATATAACAAAGACAGTTATAAAGCATGGTGTCTTAAAATAATTCACCAAAGGCTTTAGCTATGGTATGATGAAGGAACTTAAAATTTAAAAAAAAAAAGCCTTATTTTTTCTGAATACCATCTGTTAAACCATTCCAACATGAGTTAATTCTGCTACACAAAATTTGTAAATAGACTCAAATTGAAAAAAAGAAAACCTTAGTTGCTTCATGTTCAAGTACAGGTTCAGTCTGATCTATTAAAGTAATGTTAGAAAGCTATGCACACAACATTCAGTCTTTTCTAGGACCCACAGAAAACTCACCACTATCCAACCATAATGAAAACATGATAGTCAACTCATAATTGTCCATAAAGAAAATCACCCTGAGGTCTGGGACTCACATTCTCTGTTAATGTGGGTCCTTAAGCCTCTCCACCCATAGTTTCTCAGCTATTCAGGGGCACAATCATAGCTCACTGCAGCCTTGAACTCCTGGGTTCAAGTGATCTGTCCCAAGCAGCAGGACAATAGGATCATTGGGAACAGTAGGATCTACAGCTGCTCAGTGACTAGCCACCCAAGCATCACCGATGCAGCTGATGCCTTTCCCGCCTGGAGACAGCATGTTTGCCCAGCCCGATTTCAAGGACCAGGAGCCCCAGATGCTCCTTTGTGGGCAAACATGTACACCAGATAGAAGGGAAAACAATTAAAAAATACACACTCGTCCAGCTGGGCAGATTACCCAACTTCTTTTTTATTTTCTTCCTTTTCTGTGTGTGTGCTTTTTCTTTTTCTTTTCTTTTCTTTTTTCTTTTGAGTAAGGACCTCGCTCTGTTGCCCAGGCTGGAGTGCAGTGGCAACGATCACAGCTCACTTCAGCCTCGATCCCATGGGCTCAGGCGATCCTCACTCCTCAGCCTCCTGAGTAGGTGGGACTACAGGCACATACCAGCATGCCTGGCTTGTTTGTTATTCATTCATCCGTTCATTCATTCACTCATTCTTGTGGCGACGAGGTCTCACCATGTTGTCCAGTCTGGTCTCGAAACCTCCCACCTCAGCCCCCTAAAGTGCTGGGATTATAGGCGTGAGCCACCGGGCCCAGCGAGATAACTCAATTTCTACTAACCCACACTATGACTTCCTTTGGTCGGCATAATAACAGCATGTGCCAGCTTGGATGATGCAAGAGACAGCACCACAGCTAAATCTCAATTACTTAGACTCTTGAGTCAGTTTCTGCACTTATTACCTTATAAGCTAAAGAGAAACTGCGGCAATAGTCCCTAAACAAGGAGCAGATATTGAGAATTAATTAGGATCTTTATTGGAGTTCTTGAACTATTTATAAGATTGGATGCCTAGCGAGGACCATGACGTTGAGACACTGTTAATTGATGGTAGTCTGGGATACCAAGTATATTTCACACATGCTTGTGAAAAATCAATCATCTCTTACTAGCAGGCAAAAATGACTATAATAAACTGAAACCTTCAATTCAAGCAAACACTACTACTGAAATATAAATGGGGTTGCATTTAATGTACCTGTTAATGGTTTATTGATATTAAAGCAAAGTTAGCCTTTAGCCTTAACAAAGATGGAGCAAGCTATTTTTTTCTGGTTTGTTAGTAGTCAATAAGTATTTACTGAGCATCTATTATGTTCCAGAATCATGCCAGGAAACCTGTGGTGAGTAAAAGAGCCTAGTTTCTACTGACAAGGGGCTTATTACTCTTAACTTTAGCATAAGCAGGGAATCCAACTTTTTAAATAAACAATAAAGGATTTCTCACTTTGGTCAGGACTTAAAAATGGGGCTGCCCATACAATACTCTTTTGAGAGTTTGCAAGTGTTTTCTGCATTCTACTATCACATGTTCATGCTGAATGCTCACAAGTAATACCAAAATACAAAAACAAAATGTGAAGTTAGAGAAATACCAAACATCAAAACAGTTGCTGAAAGTCAGAATGCTAACAACAAAAAAAAATGCATTCATTACAATAAAACGAAACTTAATTTTTAAAAGAATCATCATAATCTAAAGACAGCTTTTCCTCTCAATTACAAAACTATAACCATATGTACAAGATACTGGTAACATTTCCCTCTAAATTTCAGATCTAACAACAGACAACCTTTCGTCCTTATTCCCAAGCAAATGACAGTTGAGCATCAAGGGATCAAAAGCTCACCTGAATGAAAACTGCAAAGCTTCTTGGCTATGAGCATACTGAAAATGAATTAGGCACTCTATGTTGCTTACCTTGTAATCTCGGGATACATTTTCTGATGTCACTGAACCTGAAATCTGACTAGAAATTGTAGCAGCTATAAGCTGTTTACACCATTCAACATGTGATCCTGTAGGACTAAAAGAAATATCGTGATTAAAAAACTTCAAAACATAGGTTTTCAGTGAGAAAAAGGAACACGAATAGGGATATATGTACATTTTTTTAGATGGATGAACTTTTATTAGATTATTTAGTTACTTTGATATTTAATAGAAGAACTGAAATAGCGACTGACAACTAGGAAGTAAAGTTAGGTTGTAGATTAACTGTAAACAAATCAACCCATCTTTTTTTTCTTTTTTTTCTTTTTGTGAGTTGGAGTCTCACTCCGTCGCCCAGACTGGAGGGCAGTGGCCGCTCCCGGCCACCGCAGCCTCGACCTGCTGGGCTCCGGCGATCCTTCCCTTCCACCTCAGTCTTCCAAGTAGCCGGAATTACAGGCACGCGCTACCACGCCGGCTAATTTTTGATTTTTTGTAGAGACGAGGTCTCGCCAAGTTGCCCAGGCGGGTCTCGAACCCGCGGGCTCGAAAAAGTTTAAGATTCTAGGTGTTAGTTAAGTATGCTATTCTCTATCATTTAATGGGCTTTTACTCTATTATAATTATATAGAAGAAATATTCCTAATGTACTATACACTGAAAATTAATTCTAAAGTGAAATATTTATCTTGTAGCACATGCTTTTCAAACATTCCATTTCGCGTTGATAGTTTTCAATCCAGAAAATAATGTACTTTCTTTTTTTTATTTTTTATTTTAAAGACATGGTGTACAATTCAGGGTTAGGTATACAAACGTTCATTATGCTGGTACCCTTGTTGATGAGGTGTGCCCCCTCTCCCCTGGCCCAGCAGGTTTCCACTACTGCCAATCCTTTAATAATGGACTTTCAAGTGAACCAAAGTGACTTAGTGGAGTAAAGCTATCACATCATTGTGTAAAGAACAGTCGAGAAAAACGCTGCTCTGTGTGTAGCAGTAAAGCTGCTTTATATTTCTGTAAGTGCTTTGACAATTTACAAAAGGCTTCTCCAGTCTGAATTATATCAGAGCCTCACAACCATGGTGTGACAAGAAGGTGGAACAGGGACAAGTCAACTTTTAAAAAAATTTTTTAATTTTAAAGATGTGGGGTACAATTCAGGGTTAGGTATACAAATGTTCATTATGCAGGTACCCTTGTTGAGAAGAGAAAATTGAGGAGCAGAGGTGACATGCCCTGTTAGAAAGTGGCCGTCCTTCTAGGACATGCCACACCCAGTAGTGACTGACTCACTGGGCTGAAGCCAGCAGCACATAGGCTAGCCGACTGCCTCATATGAAACGCAACAATGCAAAGAAAAGGGCGTCTTCCACATCCACAGGGCTCTGAAGTATTCAAAGCATTTCCACACACATAGCCTTACCCACCCTCACCTTGACCCATTTCACAGATGAGAAACAAAGGCTCCAGTTTTGCCCAAGATCACACAACTGGCAAATGGTTGGGCCATGCTTACCGAAGAAAGGACCACACAAGCAAACTAAGCAGTGAGAGAATTCACGATTGCCCCAGAAGCCAGGCTCTTGTCACAATTGTCAACACTGAAGAAAACAAGCTAGAGGACAAAAGACACTTAGGAAAGTTTACCTTGAAGGTAGCTTTCACTGTAAAGAATGTTTCAGGCCTTAAAAAAAAATCACATCACTAAGTAAATCCACACTAATAGCTGGGCTCGGTGGCTCAGCCTGTAATCCCACGCCTTTGGGAGGCTGAGGTGAGTGGACTGCCCGAGCCCACGGGTTTGAGACCCACCTGGGCAACTTGGCGAGCCCTCATCTCTATAATAAATCAAAAATTAGCCGGGCGTGGTAGCGCGCGCCTGTAGTTCCAGCTACCTGGAAGGCTGAGGTGGAAGGATCGCCGGAGCCCAGCAGGTCGAGGCTGCGGTGGCCGGGAGAGGCCACTGCACTCCAGTCTGGGCTACAGAGTGAGACTCCAACTCAAAAAAAAAAAAAAAAAAATCCACATTCATGTATCTGAACTATAGAAACACCTGGAATCTGCAGGCAATATGTAAACTAGGCTGGGTTTGGTGGCTCACACCTGTAATCCCAGCATTTTGGGAAGTTGAGGCCAGAGGACTGCTTGAGACCAGGAGTTCGAGATCAGCCTGGGAAACAGCTCTTATCTCTACAAAAAAATGTTAAAAATTAGCCTGGTGTGGTAGCACATGTCTGTAATCCCAGCTACTTAAGAGGCTGAGCCCAGCCTGGCGACAGAGGGAGATCCCGACTTAAAAAAACAAAAACAGCCTGAGCCCGCGGGTTCGAGACCCGCCTGGGCAGACGAGACCTCATCTCTACAATAAATCAAAAAATTAGCCGGGCATGGTAGCATGCGCCTGTAATTCAGCTGCTTGGAAGGCTGAGGCGGAAGGATCGCCAGAGCCCAGCAGGTCGAGGCTGCAGTGGCCGAGAGCGGCCACTGCACTCCAGTCTGGGCGACAGAGTGAGACTCCAACTCAAAAAAAAAAAAAAAAAACAAAAAAAAAACAAAAACAAATAAACTAACCTCAATAGTAGAATAAAGAAAATTGATGTTCTTTACTAGCGATCTACATTGCAGTCTCTGGTCAAGACGACCCAGAGGTTCCCTGTGTGGTTGAAAATATAAGTAAGCCGGGCTCGGTGGCTCAGCCTGTAATCCCGCGCCTTGGGAGGCTGAGGTGAGTGGATTGCTTGAGCCCGCGGGTTGGAGACCCGCTTGGGCAACTTGGTGAGACCTCATCTCTACAATAAATCAAAATAATTAGCTGGGTGTGGTAGCGCGCGCCTGTAGTTCCAGCTACTTGGAAGGCTGAGGCGGAAGGATCGCCGGAGCCCAGCAGGTCGAGGCTGCGGTGGCCGGGAGCGGCCGCTGCACTCCAGTCTGGACGACGGAGTGAGACTCCAACTCAAAAAAAAAAAGAAATATAAGTAAAAGCACTCTCTGAATGGACAGAAATTCCTATCACATGCCAGGAATTTATTTACCACAATTTCAAACTAATAGGGACAAGGAGAGAAAAGGGAGAGATGTGTTTCCTTTTTGAAGGCTAAGCTGCCTTTATTGATTGTTTACATCGTACATTTCTTGTCATGAGGCCTTTTTCTCTGTTTGAACCCAGTATGTTGCAAACATGGGAAGGAAGTGCAGGAACACGACTGGTGGCCGTGAGTGACCTGCTCTTACCATCTGCCCAGCGCCTCTCCCCTTCTTTTGATAAGGACACTTCTCATTACTTTGAGGAACTGCCCCTCTGCACTTCACAGGACTTTGTGGGGGAAGGGGAGGAGGGGACGCCCCTTCCTCCTCCTGCAACTCCTTGCAGGTGAGTTACCTAGATGAAGCCAGTCCCAGACTTTCCTCTTGGATCCTGAGCTGTATGGATCTGCCCCAGAGCTGCCGAGGGCCACTCTCTACCCCCATCATGACGAACCCAGAGAGATAAAAAGTGAGACCCAAAAAAAGAGATGGGGAGTCTTGACAACACTGTTTGCAACCCTGACCACAATTGTGCCCGTGGCCATTTCTCCTGTCTGGAGCAGTTATGTGAACCAGGACATCTCCCTTTGGCTTAAGCTGGGTTCAGTTGTGTTTTTGTGTGTGGTGTTGTTATTTTGGGCTTCTTTGTTTGTTTGTTTGTTTGTTTGTTTGAGTCGGAGTCTCACTCCGTCTGTTACCCAGGCTGCAGTGCAGTGGCATGTTCATGGCTCACCGCAGCCTCAGCTTACTGGGCTCAGGGAATCCTTCTGCCTCCGTCCCCTCAGTAGCTGGGACTATAGGTGTGCCACCACACCCGGCTAATTTTTTGATTTTTTTGTAGAGACGAGGTCTCACTATGCTGCCCAGGCTGCTCTCAAACTCCTGGGCTCCAGCTATCCTCCTGCCTCGGCCCCCCAAAGTGCTGGGATTATAGGCGTGAGCCACCATGCCGAGTTGTGTTTTTTGTCACCTGCAACCATGAGTGTCCTGGCCAGTGCAGTTACATACAGTGTGGTATAGCGGGCTAGCACATAGGGAGCCTGCATGCGAATCCTGCTCTGTCACCAGCTAGCTCTGTGACTTTCAGTCCTCTTTCAGAATTTCAGCTTCAGGAGAACAGTATTCAGACCAGCTTCCATGGGAGTCACTTGTCAGACAAAAGCATGACTCAGAGTGCGTCAAGATGACACAACTGAGAAGGCGGTCACATTTCCTATCCCCCCTGCCCTCCACACTCCTGGCATCACAGCCACTTGCAGGCTGGAGGCACCCGGCTTTGCTTCTTTACCTGGACTACCCTGATATGAGGCATGTTTGCTGGTCTGGAGCCCTGCTAACTCAACTTGTCTAAGCCCAAACTGGCTGCTCAGCCTGTGACCCGTGCCCTTTCTGTTTCCTAAGTCAGGGGAAAGCACAGGCAGTTAGGTATCTAGCTAAGTTGGGGCACAGCACAGGCAGTCAGGTACCTAGCTACCTCATGTGAGAAACTGGGGTTGGCCTTGGAGTCCACCACCCAGTGCCTCTTCTCATATCGGAATGCTGACTAGGTCGAGTCACTCTTACCTGCTAAGTATCTTGAAAATCCACCCCACCCTATTCCTAGTCCAACTCCCTTTTCCAGACTCCCATCATTCCTCGGCATACTCCGCCCGCCTCATGAATGTAAGCCCCATCTACATGCCGATGACTCTCCAGTTTAGGTCTCCAGCCTGGACAACAGCCGTGAGCTTCAGGCTCACAGAAACCAACCGCCTCTTTGGCACCTGTTCTGGGACATATAATTGGCAAGTTATACTTGCTCTGTCCAGAGTGAAAAGCCTGCTATTTCCCGGTCTTGCTCCACTTAGGAAGGCTGCTTCATCTTGGCAGCACCATTTTTGCACAAGTTAAACACCTTGGGATTCTTCCTGACTCTTCTCTCACCCAAAACAACCAATCTTCAGCCAACCCTACCGGCTCTACCCTGCAGGTCTTCCAACTCTATCTGGAACCTGACTTCTTCTCCCCTCCTCCACTCCACGGCTCTGGGCTAAGCCACCATCCTGTCGCCTGGCCTATTACCC